GGGATACTTCCTGCAAGATACACCCTAATCCTGGATCCACCCTGGTGATTGAGCAGGGTCACCTTTCTCAAACACACAAGCAAGGTCGCAGCAAATTTCCAAGGCAAGTCCATTTAACATGGGGTACGCTGGCAAGGATTTCGATGCGTCATACCTACTTGGCAATGGCCCTCAGCAGACAAGAGTCCCCTTTGTTTTTTCCCTTTTTTCTTAAAACTGTGTCCTCATTACTGGAGTGGCATTGGGGACAAGGACCAATCTTTTGGTACCACTCTTATTTTACTTTAGGGATGAGCCTCCTTCACTCACTGTGATTCTGTTAGGTTTAAGTCCCCCACCCCAGGATATGTGCAAGACAATGGCCAGCCAGTCAGAGTCTCCTCTACCCTGAACTGTGACCCAACAGGCCAATCAGAGACCTTTTGAGGAAGGTCTTTCTCTGAGCCATTTCCTCCACAGCAATGGAGAATTGGACCATTCTTGCAGATAAGAGGAGTCCTCTCCTATGTAATGTTTTGAACAACTAATAATTAAAAAAAAAAAAAAAAAAAAAGAGGAGTCCTCTCAAGGCTGAAGCTATCACAGAGGAAAGTGGACCTGAGATGCAGACAGGGAGTGGATGCAATGAGTGATGGATGCAGCCAGCCTTAAGCCCTTAGGGGTTCCTGTTATATAAGCTGATATGTCATGTTTTTATTTAAGCATATTTTAGTTGAATTTCTTTCATATGGGAAAAAAAGCCCTAATGTATTATCTTTTTGAACTTGGGCAAGTTATTTATCCTCCAGCTTCAGATTCTTCAACTATTAAATTGGGGAGAATAAGATCTCCATTCTAAGTAGCTGTAAGATTTAAATGAGATAACATGCATACACATTCAATATATGATTACTATTAGTGATATAGTGATTATATTTTTGGGAGACACAGACAGGATTTATTTGCTCTGCAAATAGTGCATGGTGCACACATGCATTCAGAGGCTTCCTGCTGTGATCGGCTCTCCAAAGATCTGCAGTTATTAATTGGAAATCACTGTTCCAGAGGTTACCTTTTGAGTAGGGCAACCTTTATTTTCCGGTCCCCTTCCAGTCTATGTATATTCTTCCTTTAAGAGATAGTTTGGTGTTATAGTTTTCTCCACCATGTTCCCATCTAATTGGCCTAGATTCAGGTTACTTCMAAGCAGATTCCCCATCCCTTATTTTGCTAATAATCAAACTTGCTTAGGAGGCATGGTGTTTGGAAGTTGTACATGAACACTTATTTCTGTTACAAAACTGGAAACACCCCTACCAAGAGGAACTATGGCTGCTGATTGATTATTCACGTGGAATAAAATCACAATGACACACACACATTTCTTGGAGGAAAAAATGTCAACCAGTGCATGGCAGCTGGTTGAATTTTTCCTTTAATGTTCCCCTGGTACTTATTAATTCACTTTGTTGCCTGTGAGCTCCTAAGAGGAGAGAGAGACTGGCAGGAGCTAAAAAGTTTAAGCTGTTTTTTAAAAAAAAAAAAAAAAAAAGTAAAAGTAAAATAATGTCTATAAGCTTGTTTTAGGCAAATTTAGGTAATTTCCTGGGAACCACTGTCCCAATATAGTGACCTAATTCCCAATTTGTATTTTTTAAAATTCATTGTTAAATACCCAATGATACTACAGCCTCCCAGTTGCCCTCTCTGAAACACCCTTACATAGCATGTCCATCAGAATTGTAGAGATGAAAATAGTCTACCATGCTATCTGATATGGTGGCCATTAGCCATGTGACTATCGARCCCTTGATGTGTGGCTAGTGTGACTTAGAAGTTGACTATAAATTTTTAATTTGCATGAATTTATATTTGCAACACATATTATACATAAATATTACATACTTTTTTTAATACTAGAGATTGAACCCAGGGCCCTTTACCACTAAGCTACATCCCGAGTCCTTTTTATCTTTCATTTTGAGACAGGATCTCACTGAGTTGCTGAGGCTGGCTTTGAACTTGTGATCTTCCTGCCTCAGCCTCCTGACTCCCTGGGATTATAGGTGTGCACCACTGCCTGGTGCAGCATAGGCTTTAATGGTAAATCTCACTATCTTGAAATTGTCCTTAAGCCATGTGGATCCTTGACTAGCTTGGTGCCTTCAGACAGCCTTCCTCTTAGGATATTTCAGGTGATGAGACTCTTTCCAGTTTCAAATGGCCTCTAGAGAAAGAAATTTCACTAACCTGTTTTGGTGTTTAGTCCTGTCTTCTGGAGGTCCCTACGGGAGGTAGCAGATTCAAAACTGGCATGA